GGTTTAAATTAAATGGCTAATAGCGCTTATGTTTGCATCTAGTTTATTAAAGTTGACTGTTACTACTTAGCATGGAAGATGGGCAGGGCACTGCAGGCCCTGTAGCCCTAAACACTGAAAGGATGGGCCCCTCCCACAACCCTGTTACAGGATAACGCCCCAAAATGAAACGTGCAGCTGGCTCCCAACAGAAAAGTCCAACCAAGTTCTGATTCTTCCTACAATTGTTACTTTGGTCCTTCAGAGGATTTTTGAAATATCAAATCCTTCCCACTATGTCTCTCTCTGTCATGCCCCCGCCTTGCCGAGCTCTCAGTGTGAGCCAGGTCTGTGTGCTGGGTCTCCCATGTTGTGGCACGGACAGGGCTGACCGAGGGAGGTGGGGCCCCGGAGACAGACACCCATCCTTGCAGAGATTCAGAATGACTGGGTCCCTCCGATACTGGAGGGGTCCCCCACCCGGTTCCACTGGCAGGAGAGGACCCTGCTGGCCCACAAGGACTCATCACGGAAGAGGGGCTCTGGCTGGTCACCGGGCTCAGAGCTGAGCTTTGGGGTGGAGTGAGGAGGGCCTGTGCCCACAGAGCCGGTGGCCCCTCTGATGCCCCCCTCCTACCTGAAGGCCAGATGGGGGGTGGGGAACACTTACTAATGAGGCTAGGGCTCAGGCGCCCATCTTGGGCACCCCTGCTGCCTGGACACTGCAGAAAGCAAAGGCCACGGAGGGTGTGGGCCTTGCTCCACAGCGACGCCCTGTGGCAGCAAGGAGAAAGGCAGCTGGTTGGCTGCCCTTGCCTACCTTCTTCCTGCCAGATAGAGCAGCAGGAACCCCTAGTCCAGCGGTTCTCAACCTGTGGGTCGCGACCCCTTTGGGGGTCGAACGACCCTTTCACAGGGGTGACCTAAGGCCATCGGAAAACACATATATAAACAGTGGTTCTCAACCTTCCTAATGCCTTAACCCTTTAATACAGTTCCTCATGTTGTGGTGACCCCCAACCATAAAATTATTTCATTGCTACTTCATAACTGTAATTTTGCTACTGTTATGAATTGTAATGTAAATATCTGATATGCAGGATGTATTTTCATTGTTACAAATTGAACATAATTAAAGCATAGTGATTAATCACAAAAACAGTATGTAATTATATATGTGTTTTCCGATGGTCTTAGGCGACCCCTGTGAAAGGGTCGTTCAACCCCCAAAGGGGTCGCGACCCACAGGTTAGCGACCCACAGGTTGAGAACCGCTGCCTTAGTCCCTGGAACATTCAGGAAGGGGAAGTCTGGAGAGGGAGATGCTGGACCTCCTGCTAACTCGCATTGGGATGCTTGAGGAATTAACTGGAAAACAGGGCTCAGCATTTGCACCTCCAAGCAGGGTCCGGCCTGCCCCACCCGCTCCCTCCCTCCGCCTCTCTGCAGCCAGGAGAGGTGTGTCCAGGCTGTTGTGGAGCCCCAGGTGCGCCCCTCAGGCTCTGTGAGCATCACTGTGGCACAGAGTCCCAGGCCCATGCAGGGTTCCTGCAGAGGCAGAATGGGTGGGCACGGGCGCCCGGGCAAGGGCCCCCTGCTCCGGATTCGGGGTGCTGGTGACTCCATGGGAGGCACTGTGGTCCCTGCCTCTGTGCTCTTTTCTTTCTTTCTTTTAATATTTTATTGATTTTTTACAGAGAGGAAGGGAGAGAGATAGAGAATTAGAAACATCAATCAGCTGCCTCCTGCACACCTCCTACTGGGGATGTGCCCGCAACCAAGGTACATGCCCTTGACTGGAATCGAACCTGGGACCTTTCAGTCTGCAGGCCGACGCTCTATCCACTGAGCCAAACCGGTTACCACTGTGCTCGTTTTCTCACACCTCCCAAAGCTGTGACCTAGGAGCTCCAGCCCACAACACACACACACACACACACACACACACACACACACACACACGCAAGCACGCACGCACCTGCAGCTGAGGATGCACGGTGCCTGCCAGGTCCCCGGTCTCCGTGCGTGGGAAGTCCACGCTGCTCACGTTTCTATACGCTTCCAACTCAAAGGCAGGAAATTCGGTGCCTGTGTGGGAGGCTTCGTGCCTGAGCCCGTCCCTCCCTCCAGGCCCTGGCGGAGTGGGCCATGGGGCCACTCAGGGCTGGCTCCCAGCCCACCCCAGAGCCTGGCTCCTCGGCCCCTGGGCCAGGCCCTCTCCTCTCAGGGCCTCAGTTGCCCGGCGAGTCCTGGGGTCTCACCCTGGTGTCTCACCCTGGTTGAAGAGCTGGATGAAGTCCAGGGCTGCGGCCACCAAGGCCCTCATCCTGACGAGAAGGTCAGCCCGCAGCACTCCCTGAGGCTGGGGGCCCAGCTCCAGGCCTGGGGACCCAGAGGGAAGGGGTCAGGCAGGTACTCCAGAGACTTGGGCCCTCCGGACCCCTCGACCCTGACACCGCCCACCGTCTGGCCCCGCCCACCGTCTGGCCCCGCCCACCATCTGGCCCCGCCCTTCCCAGCCCCTGAGCCCTTCGACCGTCTGGGCCCACCCAGTCCGCTCTTGGCCACGGAGTTGACGCTGTAAGTCTCTTCTCCGGGCAACTGGTACAGGAAGACCCGGCAGGGCAGCTCCGGGCTCTGCAGCTGTGAGCGGAGGGGTGGGTCAGGGCCCAGGCCTATCTGGGCGGGGAAACTGAGTCGAGGGGGGAGCATGGAGGAAGCACAGAGCAGCGTGGGGAGGGGCGGTGGGGGGTCCCGAGGGTGGCAGGGCCCTGGGGCTGGAGCCCAGGAAGCACCCTCCCCGCACCCCGTCCCCAGCGGAGGAGGCGCCAGCTCCGTGGTGCTCTCTTCCCCACCCTCCCTCTGCACTCTGCGGGCACAGGGCCACCTGTAGGTGGCGGCACAGGTGCATCGCAAAGACGTTGTGGGAGGATTCGGGCGATGAGGCAGGTGCCCATGCTGGCCGTGGTGTTGTGCAGGTCCAGGACGAAGTCAAAGGCCTGGCCCGAGGCCTTGGGTCCCAGCAGTTGGTTCAGCTCTCGGGCCCTTGTCACCTCATATGGGTCATCTGGGTGGGCCCTGGCCCTGCAGGGGCAGGGATGGGGGTATCACCACCCACAGTCTCAATCATCAGAGGTGCAATGAGAGGAGGGGAGGGGAGGGGAGGGAGCCTCGTGTGCTGACAGAAGTGAACCCCTGAGACCCTGCAGGAGCGACAGAGCAGCTCAAGGGCTCGTCCTTTGTGCCTCTGCAGCGTGCCTGCCCCTCTCAGGGCTCTTGTTGGCTCCCCACTGCCCCCATAAGGTTCAAACCCTTGGCCTGGCCTGGCCCACCTGCCTCATCAGCTCTCACTCCAGCCACACTTCCAGCTGGTCTCACTGCTAGGCCTGTGCACCTGCTGGGCCCTTCCCTGGAAACTCCTTTTCTCCTCTCTTCACCTGGTTAACATGGACTCACCCTTCAGTGCTTGGCTGAGATACCACCTCTTCCAGGAAGCCTTCTCTGACTACCTTTGGTCAGGTTTCTATAGCCCCTCCTCCCCCTGCATTTAGCCTCCTGGGTTGTGGTTATGGGTTCTTCCTCTGTCTCCCCCAGTAAGCTGAGAACAACACCTCATTTCACTCCCCATTCTCTCACCTGAGCTGGCCAGAGCCTGGCTCAGAGGTGGGGCTCAGCGAATGTCCATTAAAGAAAGTAAAGTAAACGCAGCCTGTGGGGCTGATCTGAGGCAAGCCCTGGGTATGGGGAGTACCGAGGAGGCCCTGACCCAGCCTGAGGTCAGGAAGGCTTCCTGGAGGAGGTGACATCCATTCGGATGTGTCTAAGCTGAAAAGGAAGAATAGGCATCGAAAGCAGAGGGTGTGCCCTGCTAGTGGCTGGAGGATGGGTTTGAGCTGAGGATCTCAGTGCCAGTCCAAGGGCCTGGGCCACCTGGCGGGCCGGGGCCCCACAGCCACCAGGACACTCACGTGAGGAAGGCGCCGGTGAAGGCTCGGTTGAGGTCACAGTCCACGTAGCGGCGGCAGGCGGCGGTGGCCGCTGGGTTGGCCAGCACGGGCACCGCGGAGAAGCTGGGTCTCTGCAGCTCCCCCAGGGCCCGCAGCCAGTGCCGCGCCAGGTGGACGCCGGACATCTCATTGCCGTGGGTGCCCCCGATCACTGCCACACGGCGCAGGGGCTCTCGAGGCGCAGGCCGCGAGCACATCCCGTGTGGGTGGAGGGCCCGGTGGGTGGGCCTGCTTAGGGCCGGGTGCTGAGCTGGGGTGGGGTGGGTGGTGAGCTCCCTGAGGTCTGACGAGTCCCAGCGTCCCAGGCAGGCAGCTCGGCTCCCTGTCAAAAGATGTGACAGGGCAGCTCGGCGCAGTGCCACTGCCCCTCCACCTCCACTGGCCGCTCAAGGCCTCTCCCTCCCGGTGCCCGAGCCCGGAGCTCCTTTCCTGGAGGGTAAGCACCACCCTTCCCTCCCTTTAACAAGGAGCTTCTTTCATTGTTGTTGTTGATCCTCACCTGAGGACTTTTCCCATTGATTTTTAGAGAGAGTGGCAGGGAGGGAGGGGAGAGAGAGAGAAAAAACATCGGTGGGAGGAGAAACCAAGATGGCGGCATAGGTAAACACTGGAAATTGCTGCCTCACACAATCACTTCAAAAATACAACTAAAAGACAGAACGGACATCATCCAGAACCACAGGAAGGCTGGCTGAGTGGAAATTCTACAACAAGAAGGAAAGAGAAAAGCATACCGAGACTCAGAGAAGGTGCGGTGCAGAAGTAAAGTGCAGAGGTGCGGAGGCGCACGTGGAAAGGGCTGGCAACTGAGGATGCGGTTGTCTTTTTCAATCAGGAGGGAGACACACGCTCCCGACTGCTCTGAACTCCAGTTCCAGGTGAGTCTCTGGGGACCCAGACTCATATGGGGAGAAACTGGACTGTCTGGCATCGGTCAGAACTCGAGGGCGGCTTTCTCTCAGAGGTGCTGGCAGCAATTACCAGGACACTGAGACGCGGGGCCTCTTAGGGTAGGACTGAGGATCAGCCATAGCTGTTTGCTCCGCCCTGTTGATTCCCTGAGACCCCGCCCCACCCAAGCTGTGCGCAGAGGCTTTTGCATATGAAAGGCCTGGCCCTTTGCAATCTGAAAATTACCTAACAAACTGCAGCTGGGTCAGAGAGACCCAGAACTTCCAAAAGAAGGCCCAAGGCCCCACAGCAGCTTGCATTGCTTCACAGCTGGGCCTCATCTGGGCACTTCCAAACCCCAAACAAAGAAGAGGAATCTGCAGATCTCTCCGTGGCTCCTGCTGGGTAGCCTCAGGCAGAGGCTAAATTAGCACCTCCTTAGAGATCCAAGAGCCAGTGTACCCAGTGGTCAGAGTGGGACCATCCAGATCACAACTCCTCAGATCCATAAGGGACACACTCAGGGGGCAGACTCAGTGAGCACCAAAGCCCCACTGAAGCAAGTCTTGCCCCAGAAGGGTGTCTCCAGCACAGAAGTTCTCCCATTATAGACACAGCTTATTCTCACAGCCAATTGGCCTGGAGGTCAATTCCTCCCAATGATACCTACAACAATCAAGGCTTAACTACAACAAGACTGTGCACAAAGCCCACAAGGGGGTGCACCAAGAGTGTCTACCTCAGGTAATTGGGGAGGCTGAGCCACTGGGCCCTATAGGACACCTAGCACAGAAAGCCACTCTATCAACACAGGGAAGCATAAAAAATGCGGAGACAAAGAAACAGGTCACAAATGACAGAAATGGAGGAAAGCAAACTACTGGATATAGAGTTCAAAACCACACTTATAAGGTTTTTCAAGAATTTTCCGGTTTGGCTCAGTGGATAGAGCGTCGGCCTGTGGACTCAAGGGTCCCAGGTTCGATTCCGGTCAAGGGTTTCTCTCTCATCGATGTTTCTGACTCTCTATCCCTCTCCCTTCCTCTCTGTAAAAAAATCATATATATATACATATATATATATATATATATATATATATATATATATATATATATATATATAAAAGAATTTTCTAGAAACTGCCAATAAATTTAGTGAGACCCTCAAGAAATCTAGTGAGACCCTCGAGGATATGAAAAAGGACCAACTAGAAATTAAGCATACACTGACTGAAATAAAGAATATTATACAGAGTTCCAACAGCAGACTAGAGGATTGCAAGAATCAAGTCAAAGATTTGAAATACAAAGAAGCAAAAAACACCCAACTAGAAAAACAAAAAGAAAAAAGAATCCAAAAATATGAAGATAGTGTAAGGAGCCTCTGGGACAACTTCAAGCGTACCAACAACCAAATTATAGGGGTGCCAGAAGAAGAGAGAGAGCAAGATATTGAAAACCTATTTGAAGAAATCATGACAGAAAACTTCCCCTACCTGGTGAAAGAAATAGACTTACAAGTCCAGGAAGCGCAGAGAACCCCAAACAAAAGGAATCCAAAGAGGACCACACCAAAACACATCATAATTAAAATGCCAAGAGCAAAAGACAAAGAGAGAATCTTAAAAGCAGCAAGAGAAAAAAAGTCAGTTACCTACAAGGGAGTACCCATACGACTGTCAGCTGATTTCTCAACAGAAACTATGCAGGCCAGAAGGGAGTGGCAAGAAATATTCAAAGTGATGAAGAGCAAGAACCTACAACCAAGATTACTTTACCCAGCAAACCTATCATTCAGAATTGAAGGTCAGATAAAGAGCTTCACAGATAAGAAAAAGCTAAAGGAGTTCATCACCACTAAACCAGTATTATACGAAATGCTGAAAGGTATCCTTTAAGAAGAGGAAGAAGAAGAAAAAGGTAAAGATACAAATTATGAACAACAAATACACATCTATCAACAAGTGAATCTAAAAATCAAGTGAATAAATTGATGAACAGAATAAACTGGTGAATATAATAGAATCAGGGGCATAGAAAGGGAGTGGACTGACTATTCTCGGGGGGGAAAAGGGTGTGGGGGGTGCAGGAAGACACTGGACAAAAATCGTACACCTATGGATGAGGACAGTGGGGGGGGGGTAAGGGCAGAGGGTGGGGTGGGAACCAGGTGGAGGGGAGCTATGGGGGGAAAAAAGAGGAACAACTGTAATAATCTGAACAATAAAGATTTAATTTAAAAAAAAAAAACACATCGATGTGAAATACATCGATTAGTTGCCTCCTATAAGCACCCTGACAGCGGCCAAGGAATTAACCTGCAACCCAGGCATGTGCCCTTGACCTGGAATCGAACCCGCAACCTTTCAGTGCACAGACCAGTCCTCTACCACTGAGCCACACCAGCCAGGGCAACGAGGAGCTTCTTTCTCCTAGGGCAGTGGTTCTCAACCTTCCTAATGCCGCGACCCTTTAATACAATTCCTCATGTTGTGGTGACCCCCAATTTCATTGTTACAAATTGAACATAATTAAAGCATAGTGATTAATCACAAAAACAATATGTAATTATATATGTGTTTTCTGATGGGCTTAGGCGACCCCTGTGAAAGGGTCATTCGACCCCCAAAGGGGTCGCGACCCACAGGTTGAGAACCGCTGTCCTAAGGTGAGATGAGGGGCCCAGACCTTCACCAGGGTGTGCCTGTAGAAAGGGGTAATGCTCCGGTGTTATATAGGGGAGACCGGGACACCGCCGGGGGGAGAGCGCACCCCATGCGTTAGCTGTGCGGTGGCTCCCTGGGCCTCCAGGGCTGGGGTGTGCCCCATGCAGAGCAGCGGGTATTTATGGGCCCAGAGATCCCCGGGCAGGAAGTGTTGGTGACAAGTTGGCAGAGAGCCGGGAAGGGTGGTGCTGGCTGAGGTCCAGCCAGAGGGCAGGAGCGCTGGGGTCTCCCCACCCAGCTCTACCCCCACTGCCGCCGACCGCTGCCGCAGTCCAGTCCACTGAGTTCAGGTCCTGCAGCCGGGCCGGTGCTCTGGCCAGAGCCAAGCAGATCCTGGCGGGCAGCTGCACGTGGCCTTGGAAAGTCACCAGCAGGGACTCGAGGCCTGGGATGAACATGAATCCCGAGGAGGCCTGAGGGCTGCCAAGCAGGCCTGTTACTTCACAGGTGCCCAGCCCAGGGCGGAAGGCAGCCCTGGCTCGAGCCGCTGGCAGCCTGGGCCACCACCACAAGGGCCCACACGTTGCTCATTGAGGCATGTACCTGGCGGCCACCCAGGTGAGAAGTGTCCTTTCCCCTTCATCCCCTCAGCAACATGCTCTGCCCTTGCAGCCCCCAGAGAGACAGGCGTCACTCATGATCCCGCCTGCTTTGTTTTGGACGTGACCCTCCCACCCGTTTCCCAGATGTGGAACCTGGGGCTCAGACAGAATGCTCAAAGGCACCAGGGCACCAGAGCTGGAGCTGGAGCTGGAACCTGGGGGTGTCCAGTCGGAGCCCTTCCTCCAGGCCTGTCCCTCCCCGGGCTTAGAGTTGGTATGAGGTTAAATGAGGTCGCATGTGCCTGGGGCCCAGGGGTCCCTACTCTGGATGCAGTGGAGTCCAGACTCTCTGTAAGAGAGTTAGTGTTGGGTGCAGAGGTCCTGGCTGCAGAGGGCCCCCAAACACAATTCCTCCCCCCCCCCCCAGGCTGCCCGGGGCTGTCACATGGTTTCAAGGATGGTCCAAAGGTCACTGAGGAGGCAGAGCTGGGCAGTGAACTGTCCAGCCGGGTCACCCAGTGTCTACGCTGTGCCCGGCCCTGAGGCTCTGCTGCCCATCCTGACAGGCTATGTGACTTGGGGAGAGTCAGCACCCTCTCTGGGCCTCGGTTCTGTCCTGGCCCGAGCAGCTGAGAGGAGTGAGGGAGAGGAGGGGCAGCCCAAGCTTGGAAATAGGCACAGCGGACCCTGGCATGACCGAGGGCAGGGGCATCCTCCATGGGTCCACCTTCTTCACTGCAGTTGGAGAAACTGAGGCCCAGCGAGCAGTCAAAACCTGAGCCAACCCACAAAATTGTCAGGCTTGACCCAGGAGAGCCACGTGACCTGGGAGCCACTCCTTCGGAGCCCCTGCCTGACCGTCCACCTCCTGAGCAGGCTCATCCCCCTTCGGCCTTTGCTCACCGCCCTCCTGCTGTGTTTTCACAGCACCCTCATCATAGCCTGGTCCTTCCTCCCAACCCCCACCAGGCCCAGCCTGCCCACTCCTTCCCGCTGGCCTGGTGTCCGGGTGAGGGTGGGAGGAAGACTCACCCCATAT